TCTTGCATTGCCATATGCCAGTATGAGGAAGTTGGAGGTAGCTGGCAAACTTTGGAATTGTGTTGTGACTTAACTATATGCTGGGCTGCATCAAAAGAAGCGTGGCCAGCAGGTCGAGGGAGGTGATTCTGCCACTCTACTCTGCTCTCGTGAGACCCCACCTGTAGTACTGTGTGCAGCTCTGGGAGTCCTCAACACAAGAAGGACATGGAGCTGCTGGAGTGGGTCCAGAGGAGGGCCACGAAGATGATCCGAGGGCTGGAACACCTCTGTTATGAAGACAGGCTGAGAGAGTTGGGGCCGTTCAGCCTGGAGAAGAGAAGGCTCCGGGGAGATCTTATTGCAGCCTTCCAGTACTTAAAGGGGGCCTACAGGAAAGCTGGAGAGGGACATTTTACAAGGGCATGTAGTGATAGGACAAGGGGAAATGGGTTTAAACTGAAAGAAGGTAGCTTTAGATTAGATCTAAGGAAGAAATTTTTCACTCAGAGGGTGGTGAAGCACTGGAACAGGTTGCCCAGAGAAGTTGTGGCTGCCCCATCCCTGGAAGTGTTCAAGGCCAGGTTGGATGAGGCTTTGAGCAACTTGGTGTAGTGGAGGGTTTCGCTGCCCATGGCAGGGGGGTTGGAACTAGATGATCTTTAAGGTCTCTTCCAACCCAAACCATTCTGTGATAACTCAGGCTTAAGATTTGTGTCCTGTGGCTGAAATCCTTGTGTGTTACCAACTTTGTTGGGGAGGGTGTGAAATTTACAAGATAAGAGAGTAGAGTGAGGAGACCCATAGTTCTGATCCTTTTACAGAGACTGGACTGGAGAAAGGCAGGATGAAGAAAGCATATGCCCTAAGGATGCATGTTGCTCCTTCTGTTTAATTTTGTTTGTGGTGGTGGCTGTTGTGTTCTTTTGTACTAACTGTTCCCGTGCACATGGAGAGAGAGATTTAATTATTTCAATGTGCTTAGGAAGATAAATTAGGCTGCTGATGGTGCATGCCTCTACTGTTGCAGCTTCTGGGTTTTATCCAGAAGAATGGCAAAAAAGATATGGAGAAGACTGTCCAGTGAAAATTACTGTGAGGAGTGCTGTGGGCTGGGATGAGCTCTTCTTACGGAGATAGAGACAGAGCTACAATACCTTCCTTAGAACTGGATCATGTGGAGTGGCTGGAGGAGCAGCAGTGAGGAAAGCAAAGGAGGTGAAGGGAAAGGGCGAAAATGTTTTGGGAGTCTAGGTAATAAAGAATAGCTGGGGGAGGGGATGGAAATCAGTGCAACGTGGAGCACAGGATGAGTTTCCTTGTTTCACGCGTGAAGGTGGGAGGAATTTTTCATTTGTCCTAACCTGTTGTAAAGATTAAAACTTTCTAGCACTGAACTTGGAAAATTAGCATCCATAGTACAGATAAAAATCTCTCTTACATCAGTGCCTCTAGAACCCAACCCAGGCAGCTGTTTTCCAACACATGCACGTGCTTCAACATACAGAGTGAATGCGCCCTCCCTCCTATGTGTGCGTTAAAGCCTGTGAGAGGAGTGGAGGTTGTTGGGTTTTTTTTCCGTTTACCTTGAGATCTGCTGGAGCAAGTTTTCTTCTGAGAACATTATGTAACCATGAATTGAGTTTGATTGCTCATTCAAAACATGGTATATCTGCTAGATCAAGAATCCTGCTTTTTTTTATATATTTATTTTGCATTTAGCATTCAGTGTCTGTTGGGAAGCAAACTTCTCCGCGTTTCTGGCAGAGACTTGAAAAACAAAACATGTGCGTGTGTAATAATTTACTACAAACCTTAGAATTCTATTTCCAATACAGTGGTTTTTTTCTTATGTTAGTGGAGAAATAGTGTATAGTCTGGTTATAACTTTGGGAAATATAGCACCTGCACCAAATTTTGTTAATCTTTTTTTGTCTATTCCAGCCATAGGCTAAGTTATGTGTCAGGCTTCTGTGCAAGATTTTTGTGGCCCTGAGGTGCCACTGGCAAAGGATTGCTTGGAGTTTCATCCCAGTTAGAAATGGAGGCTTTTGATTAATTAATTAGTAGGAGGAGTGCAGCATGATCAATACTACTAGACTTTATTTTCCAGGGCAGGGGAGGGCAGGCTGTTGCTCAGAGGCTACCTGTGGCCTTCACAGTGCCAACTGCTTTGCCCAAAAGGAATTTGCTGAAGATGCCTGTGCGTGGTAGTTGTCATGACATGTGCCTGCTTTGTTATCACATTCTCTGGTTCGTTAGATTGGAACTGAACCGGAATATGGAGAGAGTGATTTTGCCCCAGCATGTTTTGCTTGCAAATAGTTGTGCCACCGAAATGTGTTGCTACCCCTTTGCTGTCTTCTAGAGATTGTTACTTACTCTGAGGAGTATTTCATGGGAGTTCTTTCTATTTTGCTTCAAGCAAAGTTACGCTTTTCAAATTGGTGGTGTGGTCTTATCTAGCTGTTTTTTTGTGTAAGTAGCTTTATTTTATTTTAGATTCCTTTAATGGAACTGCTGTGTAAGTGGGTTCACAGACTCTCTCACAGGGAGGGAGGAAGAGAGGAGGACAGCAGTGTCGTCCACCCGCTCAACAGGCTTTGTCCGCGCTGCCAACCAGGCACTTCTGCCAAACCAGTCATTTCACTACTGAACTGTTTGTTATCAATTATGAATTTGAAAACAACAAAAACCTCAAAAAGCCACTGATTAAGGTGGTCTTGAGCTGCTGCTCCAATAAGTGTGATTGCTTCAAATGAGGAATACACCTAATTCACTTTTTCAAGGTTTTAAATGCTGAAGAATAATATTTTTTTCAGCATAATTCTGCTGAAAATATATTAAAAGTGGAGAGGTTTTGCTAACTGCAACTGCTACTGTGTTGGAGGGATAGGTCAAAACTTTGGCTTAGAGGATTTGGAGTCTTTTCATTTTTAAGTCTTGAGTTGATATTTAATGAAATATAAAGCCAACACTTTCCCTTAGTTGTAGAAAGACTTGATATTAACATTCATCATGGGGGTTTGGTGAATGGGTGGAGCCTGTGGTGAGTGAAGACTCATCTCTGAGTCAGCAACTGGCTCACCTCATATCCTTGCTCTTACAAACTCCTTAGGACAAAATGTCAAGTGTAGAAAAGCATACACAGTGCCGTATGGTGGTAGGTGTCAAGTGAACTCCTGTGAATCACACTCGTGGCTTTAATTTTCTAACGACTGCCAGTCACTTAGCTGCTGCTTCTTCTGCTAGCCGATTACCTTGATGAGGACAGCTCTTCATCCAGCAGCAGGAGCTGTGAAGCATCACTTCAAGGAGTGGAACGTGTGTGCCCTGATGCGCTTTTTTGCTGCCTGTTGTGGGCTGGGATTAGTACTTGTGCGGTGAGCCAGATCAGGGAGCTGATTCAGCTGGGAGCTAACCCGACAAAGATAAATCGTGAGCGCAATAAATTGATGGCTGAGCAAGGAAGGACTCTGCCTTTTGCTGGGACCTGCCTGTTGGTTACCTCAGCTTAGAATGACTATGAATTCTACCGGCAACCGAACAGAGTCTTGAACCATTGGTGGCTACTATTGTAACAGCAAGAGGTCATGATACTGCCTACTGTTGAGTAATGTTGTCCTCTTAGAGCAAAACTGGAAAACTAGGAACAAATTAGAATTGCTAGCTGTTTTGATACCTGCTGAAGCAGATGATATTCATTTAGTTTCTAATTTTTTAAAAAATGTATGTATTTTTAATCTCCAGTGAGGTTGTTGACGAAGTAGTTTTCTTTACCTTTAGAAAATGTCTGCGTGGCGTTAGCCAACATACTGTTGGCATCTTCTTTTTTCTTCACCCCAGCCCAAAGGAAAATGCCATTCTCTGATCCTCAGAAAAGAATTTCAGGCACTTCTCCGCTTGGTCTGGTCTATAATATCATACTGTGGCTTAAGATCTGAAGGTGGTGATGTTTCCCCACTGGTTTCCTCCCTTGCTAGCTGTCTTTGGGCAGCTATTTGCTTTGTATAGCTAGCCTTGCTCTACAGGTGTGGAGTTGATTTCTTCCCTTCCTTGTTGGGGCTTAGCAGAAATAATTGTCCTGAAGGAACGCTCACTTGGACAAATTAAAGCTTGTCACTGCCTCTGGAATTTTACAGCTAATAACTTCTCAATGTCTAGAAGTAATGACTTCTAATAATGCGGTGTCAGAGGCTAGATATACCTTGGCATGTTAAACCAGTAACTCGAGAGGTCATGCTTCTAGATCTTCCTCTCTCCCTACTGCTTTCTAGTGAGATCAAATTGAGACAAACGATTTGTCTGCTCCTGCCTGGTTCATTGCGAGTGACTTAAAAAAATAACCCCTTCTGAAAGGATTTGACAGAAAGGAAACTTGTGTAGTGACCTACTTCATCTGTATACATTCTAGATCAAGATGTTATGTCTGTAGTAGGCAAGAACACAAATAGATCCCTTTTAGCACATCAGTAAGTGTTTAGACCTTAGCTTGCAGCAGTATAAGGAATCTGCCAGCTCATCTGGAGGCGCGTGAGCATGGGCAGTTCCT